CAAACGCAGCAGCCACAACCTTTTGTAATGCCATATAAGAAAAGAAAAAAGGGTCTTTACTACTACAAAAGTTTTTGGAAACATTGGGCAAAATAGCTGCCCACGCCTTACATCAAATATTGCTGTTACTTTCCAAAGCACCCTTGAAGATTGGGAGGAAAATGCCAACTGAATTCAATAAGTTAAGAACATTAAACCATTAAAGAATGCTACAGTTATATATATATATCTCAATATATACATACACATATTTTACAGCATAATTTACTGTACAGAAAACTTCCATTTATTAATTGTTCCGTTAATGTAAACAATAATAATATGTCATTGCAATGACATATACAGAAGGACTGTACTTAAGCCAAGGAGATGCTAGCAGAGGGATGTGAAGACTCATGGAAAGTCAAGCACCATATTGCTTTTGCCATTTTGTGGGGTTTCTTTGTAACAATGTTGGTAGTAAGGGAAAAAAGGCTATAATTATGGAATAATTTCTACACTGAAAAGACAAAACAAAACAAAACACAAAACAACAACAAAAAAGGAAATAGTTCCATAATGTGAGAACACCAGGTCTTGCTAGACATTATTGTGATAGAAGAAATTGTTAACTATGCATTGGCATGCAAGAGTTGTTACTGACACACATGAAGATAGAGTAATAGAATCTGGATTCACAACACATTTTCTTTTACATGCAAACCATTGGTACAGATCCACATTTTTAACGCTAATGTATACGGTGGGCTACACAAAATGTGAAAGCCAGTGTGGTGTACCAGACAGAATGTCAAACTAAGATGTGGGGGACCTGGGTTCAAATCCCTGATGGAAACTCAGGCGGGTGGTAGCAATGCTAAATTACTCTTTGAACATCTTACATGCTTTAAAAATCCTATTAGGGTTGCCATAAATTGGACATGACTGGATGGCACGTAACTAGAACAATAAGAAATAGAGTTCCTTCTGGTTCATGTAATGCAATGCTGTTGGGGATGGGCAAGGCTGTTGGTGAGTAACACAAAATACTGTATCTTGTGTGAACCTATCCTGGATCAAACAAAGGTCTTACTGTATGGCCAATAAGACAATAATGATAACATGATAGGATTCACAGTATTGCAATTTGATGGCATGTAACAAGGCAGTTACACAAGTGCTAAGCATGTCTGGAATACAATTTGAAGAATCAGCAAATGTTTTGAAATTAATTCTTGAATTCAGTTGCCTTTTAAAATATACTCAGTTATTTAGGCACAAAATAAGTAAGCTGAATCATAATATTAAAACAGGCTACCTAACCCTGCCCTGACAGCCCACTTCTTTGGGCTGCATATTCTTTGTCATTCTACAAATCCATTACCACACATGGTATATGGCTTACCCCACGGTACTACCAACTGTCTTTTTGACCACTTAGTACTGTCAGGTGAATCCTGGTTGGAAGATGGTGAACATCACCGAAAGGCAAGCCAGCTGGCAACAAGATTTTCCAAACAGCAGCACACGCTCAGATATTAAGTGGAGCACCGTACTAATTCAAACTTACAGATTTGTTGAACGATAAACACTAACTGACTGATTAGGATTATGCTTGCTGCTTTCTGATATTGTGTGTCCAAAGACTGGAAAAAAAAGTTGAATTTTGCTTTGGGAATTTTTGCTGCTGTCTGTTCTCATAAATATTTATGTTTCACTCAGTACTGAGCATCTCATAATCTGAGCTGTCATTAAATATACTGTTCTTCCAGTGTAAGATATATTTTCTGCAATAGCCTGTTTCATGACGTGACTACACTGGAAATTTGATTAGCAGGCTGTATTATGTTTGACATCACAGTCACTGCTGTGGATTGATTTGGGAGTTCACTGTTCATATTGATTGCAATGTGATTCATATTCCAGCCCACAGCCCCAAATTCTTTCCTCCCTCCAGTTCCACCTCAGCAGATCCTTTTATGGGGTGTAAATACAGGAGATAATAATAACAAGGACCTAGCTATAAGGTTATAAGGTGATCTAGCACTAATCTCATATATGTAAGAATTTTTTTTTAAAAAAATCAGGGGACAATTGGGGGGGAGGAAACAATGCAGGGGCATATCCCCCAGTCCTGAACATCATGCTCCAACTGCCTATATCGCCACAACTTCTTGTACAGACACAAACCCTGTCTTTACAAGAATGTATCACAACATTGAAGGCAGCAGGAAAAGAGGAAGACTAAATATGATATGGACTGACTCCCTAAAGGAAGTCATAGGTTTGAGTTTGCAAGAGCTGATCATTAGTGTTGAGGACAGGACATTCTGGAGATTGCTCATTGATGGGGTCACCATAGGTTGTGGGCAACTTGATGACGCATAACATCACAAGCAAAAACCCCATTCAAATGTTTTTGTCTTGAAAAAAATAGAAGCCCCCCTCCCCCTAGTGGCAGAGGGGAAAAAGACACTTTGGGAACAAAAACGGCTGGACCAATTCAAATCAGCTTTTGCATCATGTAGTCAGTAAAAAAAAATACTTCAAATTCATCGGTTTCCATGGTACTGTATTTGATGATGTAGTTGCCGGTTTTATAAGTATAGCAAATCCCATGGTACTGTATTTGATGATGTAGTTGCAGCCTCAGGGATAGATTGTTTTTCTGCTATAATGTTTACATTCACAACTGTAGCAGATAGTAGGTGCCTACAAATTTTTAGAAATGTTTGGATATTAAACCATGATTTGAGAAGACTTCCCCTCTAAAAAACAATCTCACAAAGCAGTTAAAAGCTAATTTGTGGATGTTTTGTAATATGAATCATTTAGGTAGCTAATATATACATGCTTAACTAGAGCATAACCTCTAGTGAACACACTGACACTTACTGAAATATTTGTGTGCCATACCTGCTACCTAGCAGAGAGTGATGTGTTTGCAAACCCTGATATATCTTTGAGCAAAAAATTAAACCTCAAAAAGTAAAGCTGGTATATTTGCAGGCATGCTGATATTTATGCCAGCTGAATTCTTATGGACAGATGCATCCCTTATAAACTAGTTAAGTCTATCTGCTTGTTCTCAAACATAATAATAATCAATAACAACACTGAAATTGCTTGGCCAATTAGAAGTAATTCAGTATGGCTGAATACTAACAGGCAATTTCAAAGTTAAAATGGTTCTATCCATTAGAAGTTCACCAAAACCTCCACTGGTGTCCTCTCATTAGCAACAACCCAAACAGCAAAATCCACAATCATTACTGTGATTATGTCAGTGTAGGAAATCATTGCCTCCCATCCTGTTGCACTCTAGTTTTGCTACAGTTACCGCTGTTAGAAATTATATAAAGATAGAACGTGGTTCTATATGGGTACTGAAGCATTTACTGTTCCTCGGGATCATTAGTTTTTGAAATTATTCACAGAACATACACATTTCTCTTTGTATACGAAGAACTTGACACTGTACTATGGAAGGTAACAAACAAATGAATAGCCTAACATAGCTTCATGCTGATAAGCAAGGAGAAGGCCCATACAATCGGATCGTTCAGAGTATCTAGGAATGCACTGCATTCATCCAGATACTAGGGGAATTTGTAATATTTTAAGAAAATGACCGTACATCAGGAATCCCATCTGTATGGGAATTAGGAGCTAGTACTCTTGTTCATGCAGGCTTTCTCCTTCACTTCTATGGGGATATGCAACCAGGGCATTGTGCTTCAGACCTGCCTCTTCCTCCTCTGTAAAAATGAAGAGAAAAGCTCTTGCATCCAGGTGTTCCCTGTATTGCAAAAACTGACAAATCAGAGCACAACTATGCTAACTGAATGATAGAGTGAAAGTGTTTGACACATAAGGCCAGCATTATATTTTGTTTTACAAAGACAAAACAGTAAATTAACCTAAATAAAGCAAAAACCTTAAATAGCACCAAAGACTACTTTAGCTGAAGACTAGTGGTCTTGAAAAAGAATGATGAGGAATTTACGAAACAATCCCTTTGTTATTCATCCAAAGTTTGCATTTGTATTTTCCTAATAGATCTTAAAGGATCCAGGGACAAAGTCTGATCCTCTTGGGCTCACAGCAGACCTGATCTCTGCCCTAAATATGTTTTATTTTACTAATCAATGCAATTAACACTTATGAAATTATAGGCAGAGCATTTCTAATTCTGAGATCTCATAGCTTTGGGACAGATGGATGGGAGAAGGTATAGGGCAGAGAGGAGCTTTGTCAGCAGAACTGCATTTTCTTCCCATCTGCTCCATCAGCCTAAATTTGCCCATGTAAAGCCACCATTGATGAGAAATGGCAGAAAGTGTAAGGCACTGAAACAGGGCACTCTGGGAATGTGGGAATGGCAGATTGAGACACACTAAATCCAAAGTCATTCCACTCCCCAAAGAAGGGTTTCTTCCATTGTTTCAAATTCCCTTCCCTCAATTGCATTAAATGAAAGGGAATTTAGTCCATTGGATTAAGAGATCTAGCAAAGCTGGCCTCCCCCACCTTTTTCCCTTGCTCTGATACAACCCCTTTAGCATGGTATCATTTAGGGAGCCCTGCAAAATAAACGCTGAACATTCCAGGACAAAAATGTAAAACAGATAGAAAGGTTAAAAGAAGAATTGAACTAGCAATAATAACAAGGAAAAAAATAAAAATTAAATCATACTGTGAATCATCTGTCCCTTATCTTTGAAAACAACAACAACCTGCAGTCAGAGTACAGTATCTATATAACCCCAGAGAAATATATTTACTTTAGTTACCACTGCATGCATCTCACAAAATACACTGCAGCTCACATAAGCTTATGCCACAATAAATTTGTCAGTGTCAAAGGTCCCATCAGATTCTTTGTTTTATTTCTGTTTTTTTTTAAAAAAAGGAATAAATTTTAAAAGATAATTTATCACATTCATGAACGACTTGATAAAAAGTTCTCTGGCTGAAACTGAAATTAATTAATGTTCAATTAACTTTTCTGATAAGGGAGAATTCAAAAAAGAAGGAAGAAGAGAATGAAAATATATTGCTCCAGTGCAGAAAACAGCAAATTTTGCTTTCCAGATAAATATAACTGAATGCAATTACTAGATACAATCAAGATAAAAAAAACCCCTACACAAACAAGCTACATTGTTAAAATGCCTATTAAAATATTTGTCTACTTATCTTGTAGATTTATTTTTCTTGGCTGAATGAGCCGTAATTTGTTTTTAAATGTTATTCAGATAAACACTTCTCAAATCCCTTTTTCATTCTGTGTTATCTCTTGAACCTCTTTACCATTTTCAAAGAGTATTTGCTTCATATATGCATATATGTAAAATGGTATTATATAAAAGAACAGACACTTTCAAAAATAAATCTTACATATTACATGTAATCTTGCTTTTGGGAACATAAAACCTCTCTCTTTCAACTGTTCCATATTTTGTGGCTCATGAGAATCTTCAACTGGTGACTTGTTCCCCATGGCTCTAAATTTTTAAAAACATAGTTGACTGCAGTTTCACTCATTAAAGATAAAAAACATGTCTGGGTTATAAGTACAAATATCACATCTTAACGCTGCATTATTTCCCCCCCCGCCCCCAGTTTTGCATGTAAAATACTGTATCCAGGCTTCATAAGTGGGATGAAACCCCTTATTGTTACACCACACCAGATTTATTACAGAGCCTGGCCACTCCTGAGGATGGTGGGAAGAATGGGGTCATTGTACATGCAGATTATTGGCACCCAGATGATTGTTTCATAAAACAGGACTAGCTTGGGGCTAGCTCTAGCATTAGGACATATCCCTCTCCTGTCCCTCCATCACAGCTCTACAGAGGATTCTATGGAGCCGATTTTAGGGTACATGGGAAGCAGCAGGAGAGTGGGGGATGAACTGTCCTGATTTTGCTGGTGAAAGCAGCTTCCACTAGGAAAAGTATCCTGCCCAATATGGCCCCCAAGATCCAGGTCAAAATGTAAAGCATAGAACATATGTGCTTTATGAATTGATACCGAAAAATTTATCAGTGAGACAACAATTTGCTTCAGAAAAGTTCAGCCCACATATATGGATGTATTTAAAAGCAGAGTACAAAATGATCTTCTGAATTAAACATACAGGGTTAGACTGCAACATAGTGGAGGACTCTCCTCTCTCTCTCTCTCTCTCTCTCTCTCTCTCTCTCTCTCTGTGTGTGTGTGTGTGTATGTGTGTGTGTAAGTGAGTGAGAGAGACAAAGAATTTGTTCTAACACACCTATATTTAAACCTTTGTCTTTACAGTAACAAAAGTGATATTTGGAGACCATTTTCTAACACACCTATATTTAAACTTTTGTCTTTACAGTAACGAAAGTGATATTTGGAGACCATTAAAATATAACGTATCAGAAGAGACACACATTGCATAATCAACGGACACACCAATGTTTGAATTCTGAAAAAAAATTTTTTTTCAGTGTTAAAGAAATATTCACATTTGTTTGAAGCAATGCTGCAGTTGCGTATTTCTGTAGCACAGTGTCTAGAATAACTGAATTAGCTGTGGGAGAATCTACTGTCCAGATAATTATTATGAGAACTGAGCAGTACTCCTTATCCAGTGGAGTCCTTGTTGTGTGTATTGAACCAAGTGCTCCATATTGCTGTGCAAGGTGACAGGTCCCATCAGGGCATCTAAATCATTGAAGAAATCTAGGGAAGAAAACATAAAAGTACATTTATGGTTGCATAGCAGGCATTCCAGTGATTCCATAATTAAAGCACATAAAATGTCAAAGCAGGCAAAACTTGAATGATTGGTAAAGGCTTTGATTAAGGCTTCTGATACTCAAACTGGACAACTTCATTTGGGAAAAAAAGGAAAAAGAAACCTGATTCCTTAACCCTTCCTTTGCTTTCATTTTTGTTATAATCCACAAATGTTGTGCACAGAAAAGAACACTTATTTGTTTCCTGACCCAAAGGCCCTAAACCAGTCAAAATTAATGGTTAGTTTCTAAGCCCCTTTTTAAAAGCTCTTCTATTCTTCTATTGCAGTGGTTCCCAGGTTTTTTGTTTATTTTTTTATTGCAACTCCCGGAACTCCCTGGCCAACATAGTTGGTGGTGAACTAAACACTGAAAGTTACCCTCTGACTTAGATGTCTCTCCCTCTGTCTTTTAAAAACAATTTTATATCATTTTTTGAGATAGTAGGACTTCCTCAAGGCAGTTTGCAAGATAAAAATGTAAAATGAGGAAATACTGAATATAATTGACTGAAATGGCAAAAAAAAAATCTTCCTAAAGTAACAGCAAACCAAGCATTGCATTTCCAAATAATGATTAGGGAGGACATTGGTCTCACCTCCAGTTCTATATTCCATAAGGATGGGGCCATCACAAAAAAGTCCCCATCTCTTGTGTGAGTCAGTCTAATAGATCTTACCTGTTGGGACATAAGCAAGGCCTCTGTGGTTGATCCTAGAACCCATACAAATGTATATGTACATAACCTGGTCCCAAGCCAGTTAAGCACTTTGGAGCCAATCACTAACTTTTTAAATTGGCCCCAGAAACACAGTGGTAACCAATGCAGCTGGTACAAAACTGGTATTAGATACTCTGATCACAAAGCTGCACTCTGCATCAGTGGAAACTTCCAAGTGGTCTTTGTCTAGCTCCATGCAGAGCATATATCAGTAGTAGGCTGGTGTGGATGTAATCCAGAAGCAGGAAGCCCCCTCCCCCTTATCAAACCACATTTGTCTTCCTCCACTTTGCCGATGGTGCATTACTTCACCGGGTGCTTCTGTTCTGCAATGCTCCAGTCGCTACCACTGCTGGAAGGAGAATCAGAAGACAGACAGGCGCATGCAAAAAGCCTGAAGGCCTAGCTATAGAATACTTTCCAAAGGCCCTCTAAAGCTGCTGAGCTCCATGGCTGGACACCTTACACATGGACCTGCCTGCTCATCTCTCTTCTTCTCCTTCAGGGCAGCAATGGTGGCATGTATACTGGTGTGTATGTGTGCTAAGAACTGCAAAGATAAAATTACAATTCTGTAAATGAAAAATGAGATTGAGGGACATATACAGCCTGTACTCTAATTCCAAATGTGTTCAGACTTTGCAATTGAAGGAAAAGTACAGCACATGCTCAAGATGCTTTATTCTTTATTCTATGATACCAAGGAAAAGTTTGGAAAGCTATGGACTGTAGGTGGTAGAAACAGGTAGTGTTCCAAACTTGTTTTATGTGCAACTTCGTAGACCTCAATCCAAGCCTATCATACCCCAAATTAAAGTTAACTCTTGGTCAAAATGACATGTTACTGTTTTAGTGAAGGATTTCTTACTACACACCTTGGTTCTCCTTGGCAAGATTGTCAGCCATTTCCCAGTAGTCATAACTGTGTAAGATGCTGTTAGTGATACTAACATGATTGGCTGCCATCTGGTGAATTCGCTGTGGAATGCTGACAATGGAGGAGGGGGAAGGGGCTCCAGTGCTGCCCTGAGACCCAACAGAACTCACAGGAGATGGGCTAGGGGAGATTGGAGAGGGTGTCCCTGTATACCTGAAAAGCAAAGTTTATTATAGTACATTAAAAATAGGCCACCTATAAAAGTGCTATCAGGAAGCATATACAATTTTGAGGTTTATCTAGTGTTTGACAGTCCCTTTTTACATGCTTAATTGATGAATTGTAGTACTTTGCCATTTTCTGGTATCCTCTGATGAAGTGGACCTGTAGTTTGAAAGCTTGACTATTTGACCCATAACAGAGATCTTGAAGTCAATAAGCCTAGGCGTGCCCATGCAATATGGCAAATAAAAGTGCTCCATACATGCCTTTGGATGGTGGCACTGGATTTTGACAGAAAGATTCGGGTTTTTTTGTATTTAAATTATCAAGGTCACTGTATTTCCAGTCTACATTTTCAAAGAGTATGTTAATACTGGGGTTGCTTGGGTATTGATAACAATAATTTTTCCTTTTGCATCAAGTTCTGTTCTGAGTACCACCTTCATTCTATTAAACCACTCATTCCTGAATTACAATTTAAGTTCCTTGTGATTTGTATAGTGATTTTTATGGATGCCTAGATATTTACAGGTTTTCTGCTCCTCTAAGCATTGACTAAACTGTCTATTAGTGAGCTCACAGTTACTGTCCTCTGAAAATCTGCCTCTTTCATGTGGATAATAGCACATTTATCAATATCAAAGTTCATTTTGATATCTGTACTGTAAGATTCAATGATATTTAAAAGACTATTCAGTCTCAGAGAGATTGCAAACAATTTAACACCATCCATATACAGTATATATTAAGTGTGAAACATCAAGGCCATTTTCTCGGATAATTTAGACCTGTAGCCCTTAGTGCTATTGCTGTGCTGTCTAGCCAGTTTTTCTGGTTTGTTCATAAAATACATATAGTTCTGCAGCCTCCCTTTGGTGGTCTTCACATGCCTAGGCAACCATACTGCTTTTGCTTTAAGCTTCCGTTCTAGTGAATCAAGAAAGTCAGCTTTTGAACTTTGTTCAGCTGCGATGTTTCCGACTTGATGTTAAGCTTTCTATAAACAGGGCCTATGTTCTTCCTAAGACTGCTTCCTAAGATGATGACGATAACAATGATGATCATGACAACCATCATAATCTATGGGGCTAATATCAGGAACTATTAATCAATGCCTTCTGAGTGGCTACCGGTGCTATCCAATATACACAATATCCACACACAAAAATGATGATATCAATGATGATCATGACAACCATCATCATCTATGGGGCTAATATCAGGAACTACTGTATTAATCAATGCCTTCGGAGTGGCTACCGGTGCTATCGAATATACACAATATCCACACACAAAAATGACTGCCCAAATCACAAGCATGGGTTCACCTCTAATGATGAAGAACCTATAGTCTATTTCTGCCTTTGGGCAAACATCCTTTGCAACTCTCCTCTAAAGTTCAGAGGGAGAAGAAAGAGAATGACTGACTATTAAATACCAATAATGAAATTATCCCTAAGTGGCTAGGATTCAAATTCCAGCTGAACAAGATTTAGAATATTGCGACAGAACACTGAATTTACTTACTTTCCACTAGCACCCCATGGAGATGGTGCCTGAGCAACTTTAGATGAGCTCTGTAGAGAAAAAAATGTTGCAAGCAATTAACTGGGAGTGCAATCAGTTTCAACAGGGAGAATGTTTTAGAATCCAAATGCTATATATGGTGTCCACAGTCAACTATTTTACAATAGCTATGAATTTGATTACCGTATTCTTCCATGTATAAGATGATACTTTTTCTTAAAATCATTGCAGGAAAAATTCAGGGTCATCTTTTACAAGCAAGTAAGCCTAAGAGAAAACCGCACGGCAGCAAAGCTGCCTACCCTATGCTGGTCAGTGGAGTCTGGAGGTACCTCCTTGCTGCGATCCACCTCCCTCCGTTTGTTTCTGCTGACCTGAAGCAGCTCCTCCTTGCCTGCAAGCCCATCTGAGTCTGGAGTGGGCTGTGTATGCACCTCCCTGCTCAGGACCCACCTCCTCCCACCCCCTCCATTTGTTTCTGCTGACCTGAAGCAGCTCTTCCTTGCCTGCAAGCACATTTGGAGTGGGGTATGTTTGCATCTCCCTGCTGGGACCCACCTCCTCCCCATTTGGAGTGGGGTGTGTATGCATCTCCCTGCCCGGGACCCATCTTCTCCCACCCTCTCCGTTTTGCTTCTGCTGACCGGAAGCAGCTGGAGCTCTTGATCCTTGCCTGCAAGCTGATCCAGAGTGGGGTGTGTATGCATCTCCCTGCTGGGACCCACCTCCTCCCACCCTCTCTGTACTGGCTTGTAAATGTTGCCTAATTACTAAATAAAAATGTGTTCCTTTCTAATGTTTAAAAGATTGATTGCTGAATTTTTGGGTTAGAAAATTGGGGGCGTCTTGTACATGGGGATGTCTTATATATGGAAAAATACGGTAGTTACTTTTCTACATAAAAGACATGCTGAAGTCAGTTCCTGATAACCTTCCCCCCCACTCTCTCTCTCTCTCTCTCTCTCTCTCTCTCTCTCTCTCTCTCTCACTCACTCACTCACTCACTCACTCACTCACTCACAAATATACATGAAGACAAAAGTTAAGAAGTCATAGGCATGTATTCTGGCCTATGTTATTAAGCATAGAAAAAGAGCAAAAACTTTTACTTCTTCTGACAGAATTAATCAGTTTGAGAAAATGGCATCTAAAGAATCAAACTATACAATTTAGCTAGGATGTAGTTATGAGCAGTGCTCCTTTAACAAATAAAAAACATTTGTTATCCTTGCAGGAGGTTTTCTGAGTGCTGCAAATTACCTTGCTTTTCTTTGTGATTGGTCTTTGTGAGTAGTGCTCAGAGCAACTAAAAACCACAATATAATAAAAAAGCACCCAGTCAGTGCTAATGCAAAGTCTTTATTTTTTATTTATTGTATTTATACCACGTCTATCTAGTCATTTCGACCATTCTAGGCGGGGTATACATACAATAAATAAATAAAAGAAAAATTAAAGACTTTGCATTAGCAAAGTCAATAAATGGAGCTGTGGTGTTGAAGTCCAAAGCACCCAGAGGGTTGAAGGTTCTCCACCCTGCTTCTGCAGTTCCCCAAACCCACTGCTTACTATGACAATGTTGTCGTTTTACATGTGCTTTTCCCCCAGCTACACATTACTTGAGAGGTGCAGGGCACTAGCTACTGTGTATCCCCCAGGAACACATAATTCAGATCTGGTTCACAAGTGACTGTGCTCAGAAAACTGCCCAATATGTTTTCCTCTAAGCCTTATTGTACAACCTTCCTGAAATATGCTAATCTTCTACTGAGGCAACCAAACCAAGTACCTTGAAGTATTCAATGAGAGCTTTTGAATATTTTACAGCATGGTCTCTTTTGAGTCGAAACATTCTCCAATATAGAAGGGCCAAACAGCGATAACTGTAAGAAAGGAGAGAAACATGGTTTCAGGAATATTGTTTTATCTGTAGTCATTCAAACTAAGAAGGGGAGTGGGGTGGGGAGCCACAACACAATAAGAAAGCCTTCTTTGACTCTTGTATATTTATGGCTTATTTCTCTTATTGGAGAGAGACAATAGCCAGCATCCTGTTGCATAACTACGCACGCACAAGAGAAGATATGTCACTGGTCTCAGCAGACTGCTTCTAACTAAAATGTTCCATGTTCAGTTTCAGGGCATGTGCAAGTTCATAGTATTTTGTCCACGTCATGAGCACTCTAAAATTGATAAAGCAACTCTCTTGTTGCAGAGGCAACTTATGCAACAGAATATTGGCCAATAATTTTGAAGAACAATACAAAAGATAGTCAAAGACTACAGGAAATGAAGGTAATAGAGTTGAACCATCATTGACGATGTGTGTGTGTACTCAGTTCTTTGTCCTTGCTCTTGCATTTAAGCAACCACATGTTGCAAGTCAGTGAAGCATTGCTGAGGAAGAAATCTGTAAAGTGTCTTAAGGCAGAAAAATGACCGTGCATTCCATCCGTGGCAATTGCTTCATTATATCATCTTCCAGACTTCTGGGGGAAAACAATCGCTGGTTATGTTTAACACGTTCACAATGTTTTGCTTCTCTCCAAGAGCCACTTTCAAAAACGCTGCAGGGCGATGCTCAAGCATAATTTCCTTGGCCCCAGTATGAACTTACAACATGCAATGATGAAAAGCGTCTGTTTTAAGAAACTGGAGAATCAGTTGGCACTCTTCAGCTTCTTCTGTTACCTCTGTTGAGGCCTTTTGTTTGTGGCTGCCTGATTTGCATTTATAGGCACACAAGGTATATTTATTGCACATGCAAAAAGCATCCTTTAGATACAATTTCCTCTCTGGTGCCCTACGATCACCGTGCATCCGAAAAGAAGCAGCCTAACAATTTCCTCATATATATTCTACTGTCAACTGTGCTGGTTCCTCAACTCTTAATGTCCCAGAATATAATTTTATCCATTCCATCCTCCTACTGCCAACCTGCTGGTACATCTCCTTGGTTTCTACAAGGAGCGAGTAAGGGACATCTGTAGTAAGTGAGTAAGCATATTGCAGGCAGAGCTCTTTTTCTCTTTCCAAGCGCAAGTTTGAGATGACCCTTTACAAACTCCTCTCTCTGGGGCTGTTAGATTAGCAGCTTCCTTTTTCCTGAGATTTCAAGGCCAAAATGTATCCCTAGGATAGGCTTCCATGATGTCACAGAAGGCAAGCCCTTGTGTAGAAACTGTAAAATAATATGGTGTCATCTGTGAGAGAGTTAAGATAAACAATGTGGATTTTTTTTGGTAGTACATGTGAAGAGCGCAGATATAAGCACCTTCCTGCTCAACCAGTGAACCCTGAGGCTGGTTGGAAATAATGAGAACAAGGGTGCCCAGGCATTAAAGTCATCACACACAATAAAACCAGACTTCTCTCCCTATGTGGAGGCTTGGGAAAGCACAACAATTCCCTGGGGATTTAGCTGTTGTCCTGAGACTTGGCAACCTTTATTCCAAGTTCTCTTGACAGTTTGGACAGGGTCAGTACCTCACTGTTCTGCTTGCTTTCTATTTGGCCTTAGCCAAAAGATTTAGAATATCCAAATCTTTGAATTTATTTTAGCCCCCTTTAAAAAAAATCGCCCAGGCTTTTCAGGTGTTTCATTTACTACTACCTAATTCTGTTCTATTGTATTAATATTTCTTAAATTTGGTATATCTTTATATCCTCTCTTTTAGCACATTGCAAACCACTTTGGGAGGCTGTATATCTGATATTTTAAGTATATGATATTTATCTATATCTGATAGATAAATGCTTAAATTAAATTAAATAAATCTATATCATCCAGCCTACAATAACCATTTAGCTTCTTCTGTTGGCACCTAACCAAACTAGGTTGACGTATTTGCATAACAGGGATCCCGAAATCTTGATGGGTTCTTAAAATGACAAAATATCCATTCTTTTTAATCTCCTTTTATAAAGGTCATCTATCTGTGGAAGCTTTTTTAAAAAAAAATCTGCTAACTGGTGGGGTATATGAGAGGGGAATCACTTACTTTGCAGGACGGGGGCTCACCAAAATTTCAGAGGTAACTTCTCGTTTCAAGTGTTTACAGACATGTTTTATGGAGGTCTAAATAAATAGTGGATATCCAGTGTGTTACAGTGGATACAGTAATAGGCTGTAACTCAGGAGATGGGAGTTTGAATCCCTGCTCAGGCCTGGAAATTCATGGGGGTCGAGGTTGGAACTGGTAAAACCATTCCTGACATATCTCACCTACAAAGCCCTATTACAATTGCTATAAGTCAGTCCTCACTTGATGGTACATAATACACAAGTAAATGGCATCATACAAAAAGGATAAAATTGTCCTATATGAACAATTGATTCTACATCCCCTAATATACTAAATATTATCTGAGGTGCTTGCATGTCTCATTCTCTTTTTCTCATAAGAAATTGTTTTAGAAGAGGTAGCCATGTTAGTTTGTGGAAGTGGACATGTCCACAAAAGCTCACATTAAAGTATAGCACTTAGTCTTTAAGGGGCCACAACATCTTTGTATTCATAAGAAATGCTGTGACTTGAATTTCCTCTTATTCCAGGAGAGGGCAGTCTGTGCACAGGAGATGAAAAATTGATTCTGGCTGCTTATGCTTTAAACGGTTGTGTAGCTTTACGCCTAGATAGAAATGCAGTGCTCAAGTCATAATTCTCACTCTGTCACTTTCCAGGTACAGGGAATAAGCAAAAGAAAGCAACTCATCTGCTCTCTGGCAGCCAGAGACTTAGGGCTATTATTCAGTGTTGTTAACAACAGACAGTCCACGTCTGGCTTTCCCCTCTCTTTGGCCTCTGATTTCAAAGACAGCAAGCACTGCCTCCCCCTTCCCCAACACTAAACTCTACACACTGATGTGCCAAGGTTGGATCTATAAGATTTCTGAAAATCTTCCGCCTCTCTTTCCCACAAAACCCTAAGAAATGGGAAACATTTATACAGCAATTTTTGGTTGCTGAGGCTCAAGAAACTTCTACCAATTAATGTTGAACATGTATCTGGAACACACTTAAAATCAAGTCCTTGCTATGAAGTGTGCTTGTATAACAAAAGCTCAAAAGACAAGACTTATGACAATGGTAATAAGAGCCCAAGGATTTATTTTATTATTTATCAATTCAGTTAATTTATATCTTGCCTTTCTCCCAGAACTGGAGTGCAAGGTTGCTGGAACCCTCAGTTTAAAGAATGGCAACTTTTTTTGGTTCCAAGAGATCTGCCAGAATAAGAGTGGTCCAGTGTATTGTGAAGGGAACTCAACCAAAGACAGAGTGAGATCAAATGCGTGAGATGCCCACTTAGGACGTACATTGCTAATGGTTTTTAGATCACAGCTTGTACTTTTATAATGCTATTACCATCATTTTGATTGGGTCTCATCCTGTGTGTGAACAATTTGAAGCCAGACTACGACTGGCTTTGGGCACTCCCGAATGAACAGTGTCTCATGTTTCTTATTCTTTCACGACATGGTCATGTCCAAGTTCTGTATCACTCAGCTGGGAAGACCAGAAAGTACTGGGCATTTGCATTTACTAGGCAGACATCTGCCATGCAAGATGAGGAAATATGAAATGTACTTAAAAAAAACATGTATCCATGTGTATTGAGCACATGCACTTCATGTTCACCGCGTAGCACCAAGGCTGTTCTTTATGTTAATGAACTCAAAATGATCACTTGGTTTGTACATAGCGAATTAATTGCATATGGTATTTTGTGCCCATGGCATGTGTTCTGGATTTTGACCATGGAAACTAACTGTTCATGTAACAGAAACATAATGTTGTATGACTGATCCTGAAATTGTATACAAAAGAAGAAAAGACCATACCTGAAACCCTAAATACATTTCATAAGGACTAGAACACACTAAGGTTAACTTACACCTGAATGACCCTGTTAGACAGAACCAGCAGGCAGCTAAAATTAATTATGTGGAACAGCCAAAGCTCTGTTTTCAAGCCAGCTTCTGTGAGATGCTGATTTGCACAAGCAGATTATTAGAAACAGAGACACAAGAGGAAGCAGAAGAGTCTGCATTGGAGCTTCAGGACCATGAAATCTGCACATGAAGACTTGACATTTAAGTCAAAAAGCAAAGCAAAGGCTGTTTCTAATATTTTAAAATTTGATTTTGAGGACAGCACATAAAACAAATCTTTCATACAACTAATTTACTAACCATAATGCAGCTAATTGTTTTTCTTCTTGAGAACCATTGGGGCCTGAGTGGGTTTTTAGTCTCACTGCATACCTTCAAAAGATCAAACAAAAGGCCAGTAAATAAACTCAGCAAGCATTAAAATAAAAGTATTTTTTTACAGCGTCAGTAATTATGGATTTATTGTAGCCAAGAACTTCCAGCATGATCCTGTGCATGTCTATTCAGAAGCAAGTCCCACTGAGTTCAATAGAACCTACTCCCAGCTGAGTATGTGTTAAGTTGCAACCTTGATCTGTTACATGCGCTCACCATAAACATCTCATTTATCTATCTTTCCCACTTCTGAATCTTAAAAACGGTCACGGTGCCTGCCCAACTGTCCAGCTTTGTTGTTGTTTAGTCGTTAAGTCCTGTCCGACTCTTCGTGACCCCATGGACCAGAGCACGCCAGGCCCTCCTGTCTTCCACTGTTTGGTCGAGCTTTAGCTCAGCACAATAATGTCTCCAGGAAGCTATTCTAAACTTTATGAACCAATAACAACCTGCACTGGCTTTTTTTCCCTACAGATTGATTACTGGTGCCATCATTTCATATATCATCCAAAGTTGCTCTTTCAAGCAACTCCAGTTCTCTGTATTGTCTCCTTTCCCATGTTGACCCTAGCATTTCCGTCTTTTGGGTAGCTGATGTGTTTTGCCAACTATATGATCCCATTCTTTCTTCAGTGGTTATTTGTACCATCCCATATCACTGTTTCAGGGCTGCTGTTGTTTTTCATCTTTAAACCCTTTCACAATGCAACACTCCTTCTTGTTGTGGTTACATGCCACCACATTGTCTCTCCACTCACTGGCAGCACCGTACGTTGACCTCCTTGTCCTGCCTCCTTTTTTGAGTGTACGATCATGCCGGGAAGGCAGAGGAGGGAAGCGTGCTGCTGCCAGTGAATGGGTGATTGCGCAAGGGAGGGAAGCATGCAGGCTCCAGACCAAATCACTGTACCATGGTTCATGCCCATCTCTAGACGGGAGTGAATTCACTCCACCCTTTGTGACATCAGTTCCGTATGAAGAGGTAAATCTTCTGTTGTCCTTGGGGATTCTCCAGCTATGCTGCAACTCTGATTTTCCAGAGCTCTAACCCTATGATAAGATTAGGGGGGGGAGGTCTAGAATGCTCCTTTCTACATGTGGTGAGTTTGCCCTCACATATAACATCTGAATAAGGCCCTTTTAATATTTTTAATCACATTGAAAGCCTGTAGGAACAGACTTTCTATTACATTTACTTAATGGACAGTTTTTAGTATATTGATTGGTGGAGACTGAGTTGGGTACCTAGTTGCAGAGCCATAGGTTGGGAGCTCAATTCGCTACTGTGCCTTCCTAGGGGAAAAGCCATCCTGTGTCGCCTTGGGCAAGTTGCACAGTCCCAAAGCAAACTCAGAAGAAGGGAGTTGTAAACTCCTTCTGAGCACTTTCCCCGCTAGAAAACCCTGGAAAGGGTTGCCATAAGTAGGAATTGATTTGATGGCATATAACGACAATGACAGCAACAAAAACTTCTTTGTATATTAAATGATTCAGGAGAACAGAAGAACAACCATCCACAGGGTACATGATAAGTTAGAAGCTGCAGAAGATCAAAATTAAGGCAAGATTAGATCTAATATGTAAAACACCCTTTCAATTATCAATCGCAAAGTGTTATCCTAATGTCCTTTCATTACCTATAATTGATCTACATTTACAAGCGTTCAGCTATAAATGGTCGAAAGACCAGATAGGCAGGATATAAATAAATAAAATAAATAAATAAATAATATATTATTGACATAGAAGAAGTGTGAAAATGTAAGATCCAAGCAAGAGTCGGAATATGTACATAAGAACTGAAGAACCTAAGAAGAATCCAGCTGAATCAGTCTAAAGGACTGTCTTGTCCAACCCGAGTGGCTGATCAGCAGAAAGAATATTCCATGTTATCTTACCTGATGAGTTCCACAGTTTCTGAATACATCGTGTATGGTGATTTTGATTCCATGGGTCCTTGTTCCATTGCATTTCCACATTCAATAAAACATAATGCAGCTTCAACATAATTCAATGCCTTGCCAAATTTCTCCACCTGATAAGTTCATTGCAACAGAAAACAGCAATCACAAAACAATGATTTGTATTTCATACTTGTCCTAGAGTTGATGCAGTTTATAGAAGAAAAGCCAGAATTATACATTCTGAAACATTTTAGATGCATCTCTGAGCAAACAGCATTACTCTACCAGAGGTGACATTTCCCCATTTCACTAATAGGGATCAGAGAGATTTTGATCCTCTTCCACCCCCACCCAAACATTGAGCTGGGCAGATATATCTTTAGTAATTATTTTTCATACATCTGGGTGATTAAAAGGAAAGATGTGTGCCCTCACTTTTCAAATTGCATTCTTATGGCTGAAGCAGGGATTCAAGTCATTTAAAGCAGCCATTCTCAACTTTTTGGGCCCTTTTAGGAGCTCTTCTCAGGTTCCAGGCCTCCTCATCAAACAAGGAAAACTTTGGGCTGTGTGCAAACAAGGATGCAACACGAACAGATAAATCTGAGGCATCTTTCAAATGTGCCAGGGCCCCCAATGGGCCATACAGCCCTTGTTGAGAACGAGTGATTTAGAGTACAATCCTTTATTTTTCAATTAGAAAAAAAGTTTCACTGAGTTCACTGGGGCTCACTCTTAAGTAAATGGATGCAACCTTAATCAATTACCAGTACTTAGCAATGGTTGGAAGGAGCTATACTGCAGCCTAATGCAGGAGTTTATGTATTGGGTTCACTTTCTGTATGTGTCTTTTTTTAAAAACAAACAGTGCAATACTATACAGCTACATCCAGATGTATCCAGTGGAGATTACTCCCAGGTATGTCAGTGCATGATTGCAGTCTAAGTGTATTTTAATCGTGGCCTCCTTCCACCAAAATATCTCCAGAAATAGGTATTCTACTGAAAAACTAAATACATTAACAGAAAAATAAGTGAAATATTTGGAGAGAAGACAGACTACACATGTTACAAATAAACAAACAAATATATCAGTAAGAGTAAATGCATGGTAGGATTTACTTCATCTGCATTCTTACGCAAACTGCAAGCCTATGAATGCTTTTTCCTGGGAGTAAGCTTCACTTAACTTTGAAGATGGCATCTTGCAGCATATACAGATCGCACACCTTGCATGAATGAGTGCAAACTGCATAGACTTCATTATTCGATTAGCTTTATAGTGCAAAGTAAAAAGAAATCCAATAAATAAGGAGTACTTGGAAGTGGGGTGGTCTTTTTGTTTTGTTTTTTTGCATTAATGGTCATTCTTTTTTGTTCTACACATTAAATACCACACAGAAGCTCCTCATCTGTCCCAGGAAACTGAATTTAGACTCCCAATGACTATTGCTAAAGCTGGCCAGATAGCTCAGAGAGTTGTTACAATTGTATGGTTGCAGAGCCAGAAGCTGAGAGTTGAGATCCCCTGAGGAACCAGTTAGTTTTAAAAAGAAAGGGAGGGAGGGTACTCTTTACATAGAAAACCCTGAAAAGGGTTGCCATAAACCAGAATTGACTTGATGGGACTAAAATATGAAATTATAACAGGAGGGGACAGAGAAAGCAAAAGTAGAATTTGGGTGTTGTTGTTGTTGTTGTTGTTGTTAAGGAATTGGCTCTTTAAAAGTTCATTTAGTGTCTCCTTCCCCATAAAATTCAAAACGGGAGAAGGAATAAAATAATGGATGGGATTTTTCTATTTATGGGGGTGGGTAGGTAAAGCTGTGTTGTAGTACCTCTCATGGTGCAATGTTTATTTTCAGTATACTAAATATATTTAGGGAGAAAGAGATAATAAACATGTGCATATGTATAAGTTTGCCAGAGAGCATTCCTATGAGGTCTCAAGATCTACCTGAGTACAATTTTGTTAACAGCAAACATCTGTGCTTCCCAGTCTAGTTTATGTGCACTATGTAGTGACAGCACAGCATACTTAGCACACTATATAGAACAGCTCACCAGCTCTATTGCTTGCACAGTGTGAAGAGCTTCTAAGACACCACAGGGAAATCCTGTGAAAAATTTACCTCACAGAGGCAATTCTTAATCCAAAGATATGTTGTATTCCTTCCACATGTCACTGGTGAGGCTGTCTTTGAAGAAGGTTCTGATAGTTTAACTACTGTATTGCTGCAGTATTTCTTCCGCAGTCACTGGTGAGGCTGCCTTTGAAGAGGGTTCTGATAGTTTAACTACTGTATTGCTGTGTGTGGAGGGATGAATTAAGATCCTCAAATATCACAGTGACAGGGTCATTTATTTCTGGCCAATGTGTTTGTTGAGAGGGATGAATTAAGATCCTCAAATTTCACAGTGACAGGGTCATTTATTTCTGGCCTCACTTCCAAGTGCTAATTGGACCATGAAAGCCATAAATGACTGGGGTCCATTTTGTCTCAGACAAGCCAGGGTCCCCAGCCTGACTTAACCAGGAGCTGCGTTTGCCATGTGGCAGTAGGGGGAGTGCAGAGGCAGTAGCTGGCCACCAACTTCCTGCAACTCTAGTATTTCCTAGGGGTCACATAGCATGCCACAGCATGACACGTGGTAAAATGCAGTTCTGCACTCCAGCTAGCCAATGTGCCAATTTACTCCTCAGTTGGCTAGTTAGGGACTGGCTAGCCAACTGAGAGGTGGACTGCACTGACAGAACAGGGCAATGCTGTTTTCAAACCGGTCCACCAAGGAAGTCCAATTTTCTGCTGAACTGAGCCATCTGTCTGAGGAGGCCAACTGCCAAGGGTGAGGCTGCATATATTGTAGATTGGGGAAATGTGAGGATGTTCTTATACTCCTGTAAATAATTTTTAATGATCATGTCTTTTTTGTTACAACTTTCATTGATTGCAGTGGTATGTGTGGAAATCTTATGTATGGGAAGGGTTTCCCTATGGTGTGGGCACTTGGCATCCTGTCTAGGATCTTGGAATGAAGACTGGCAGGGGTGAACTCAGCTCAGGAGAGCCATTTCAGCTCCTCAAACTAGATGACAGAGTATATCCTAGTAGTCGGGCACACAGGATGACTCCACCTTTGTCTTCCATGCCAGGTCTTCCCAGAATGGGAAGGGGGCATTGAGCAGGAGACGGGTTTCCCCCTTATACTCCTGTAAATAATTTTTAATGATCATGTCTTTTTTGTTACAACTTTCATTGATTGCAGTGGTATGTGTGGAAATCGTATGTATAGGAAGGGTTTCCCTATGGTGGGGGGGGGGGTGAAGGATGTTTGACACTTGGCATCCTGTCTAGGATCTTGGAATGAAGACTGGCAGGGGTGAACTCAGCTCAGGAGAGCCATTTCAGCTCCTCAAACTAGATGACAGAGTACATCCTAGTAGTCGGGCACACAGGATGACTCCACCTTTGTCTTCCATGCCAGGTCTTCCCAGAATGGGAAGGGGGCATTGAGCAGGAGATGGGTTTCCCCAATGCTCACAACTGGTTCCTATGCTATAACACTACGTACTGTACTAGTCTGCTCTAACAAAGTTGCAGCCTTTGATTTATCCGCCTCTAAACTGCTGTAGTATGGTTTGTTTTCTTTACAATTATTGTAGGGTGGTAGTGGTATACTATGTGGGCCTGCAGTGTTCCCCCTCCCTGATCTTATAAGCTTCTCTGGTAATGCAATGTTTTCAAGGACAGCTTGCTCCAAAGTCAGTCTTCTACAAGCTACAGAACCTTTTGGATGTCAAGCAGCTCCAATACTCTCACACAAGAATCCCTGTCTTTTTTGGAGGTCTTTGCATGAATTTCTTTTTGAGAGAACTTTTCAGAACTGTTTCCACTAATAACTGTGCTCTGCATTTTTGCTGATGTTTAACATTGCCACTGATTTACTGCTAACTGAATTATTTTCGTAATTCATTTGTTTTATTTTATTGTTTCATCCTACATATTTGAGATCATTAAAAATAAAAAAAATGTTAAACAAGAGAAATAATAACCTGAAGATTTCAAAGAAAATTAGAGGTAATGGGATCGTGTGTAGTAGAATACCTAGGTGATAGTCATTCACACGGTTGCAAAACTGACAGTTTATAGCCTGACAACAATTTGAAGCCCTTAGCTAATGGCTAATTACGAAAGAAGGGATTTGCTTAAATTCATACTAAAACAATTGGCTCTAATAGCGTAGGGGGAAGAAAACCATATAATAAAAAGACATTTTGAACTCATTATTATTGTCACTAAAACAAGATCCAATGAGATCAATCAAGCATGTAGATTAAATGCAATATGGGTTTTATTAAAACTCTGTTTTGAATTTATTCAACCCAAATTTCAATGGCATGTACCCAGCGGCATTCTTTTCATTCACTGAAGGCTCTCTTCCTTCCAGTGGTATTCTTTTCATTCACTGAAGGCTCTCTTCCATGTGGGCTCTATGAATAGAAAGGGGAGTGAGGGAATTTTTTGCAAAATCCCTCCTCTGCTTTCTTGGGACCCCACAAAGCTACCTCCCACATTGATGTAGGGGTGGCAAAAGGTATTGCAGGGGAGGGGAAAATGCAAAATTGGTTTGTCCTTCTGTTCATAGGAGCCTCTACTAGATCAAACAGGCTTCCACGAGTGAAGGAACATCTTTGAATACAGCCCTATACAGTAAATGTAACAATTACAATTTACTAACTACGCATACACACATATATATCTAAGAATGTTGGATTGACCTTCAATATTGTTTGAAGCATAGCTATTCAGCTAAGCATATTTTGTAGTATTAATGGTTGAAATTCTGTTTTCCAGTATGCAAAAGGTATAACTTTTGGAAGTGAACTGCTGTAAATAAATCAATCTTTGTAGCATGCAACTCAGTGTGCAACAGATAATGCTTATGGAGATTTCTTAATATAAGGGCAATTTGCTTCCAAAACATACATCTTTTCTTGTAACTGCACAATAGGATTTCAGTCACTGTTTTTTATTTACCAGACAAAATTTAAAATTGCCACTAATTAGAGTTCTTCTAAAGTTACATTGTGCAGATAATCTGAAACAATCTACTAAACATGTACACATTCTTACCATTGCATCTGCTTTATGCTTCTTTCTTTTAGCTTCTTGCATAAAATAATCTATATTTTGTGGCCTAAAATGGGATAAATCATAAGGAAGAATTTGAGTGTGAAATGTAAAATATTATTTTCACCCTACATATTTATAGACCTTAAGGGTATCTTTCATATATAAATACCATTAACAAATACTGTAAAGATCCTCAGTTTTTTAGTGAAGAATAAGAAGCAAACAGTGAACTGAGTGCTCTGCAAATAACGTTTCAAAAACACATATTTGTCATTCTAGCAAGTACTTTCTGATATAGGATAATAGGGATCTAGAGATCTCTATTTAAATATTTCTGATACTATGAAAGATGCATGTTCCCTGCTTGCCGTAATGAGGAAGATCTAAAGATAGGGCACAAACAAGCTGGATTAAGGAGTGGACAACAAGCTCTGGGGAGCAAAGGACAGGAAAAACAATGGCACATTGTCTGCACTGAAGATAAAAGAACATCTCCTATCTCTAGACTGCAACGTGGCAGGCAGCAACAGTTTTGTTAGTGTTTGAAATGCCTGGTGGAAATTCTGATAGATGCAAGGACTGGAGATAAGTTAGCTTCTTGCCATGTAAAGCATCAACAGAAAGTCTAAGAGTCAAATAACACATTAATAGAAAAGCATATTTCCTGGAACTACAGAATTTTCCATTGAGCAATACAGTTCCTTCAGATCACAGACATGGAAAAGAAACCTGTGATTATGTCCTGAGAGCCAATTGCAACACAAAAGTTAGCTAATTTGCACAATGTGGGGCATAGCAAGCTTGTGCTAGGATAATCAGGTTTCTTTTATTACTTAAGAGAGTTGTGCTTTTAATGACATGCTAACTGTGTCATCTGGGTTGGGCCTAAAAAGGAGAAGGCACTTATTTCCTATTGAAAAATTATTAAATTATTAATTTATTAATTAATTTATTTAATTTATATCCCGTCCATTAAGACCGAAGTCTACTCTGGGTGGCTAACAACAACATTAAAATAAAATAAAACAACAATATTAATACACTAGAGCAGGAGTTCCTAACCTTTTTCAGTCTGTGGACCATTTGGGATGTGTGTGCTCCATGCACGGACCGGTTGGGAGGTGGGGCATCCCCCCGCTTACTGGTGGGTGTGTCACGCTTGCAGGTGGGTGTGTGGCCTTCATGCTAACGCTTCCCCCAGCGCCCCTTCCCTATGGGGAAGCTGCCGTGGGGCAGCCAACCCGGGAAGTGCCCTGATGTATGGCATTGATTCTTTGCTCGCTCACTCCCCACCCTCCCTCTCGAGGGAGCAGCCAGCTAATAAGCAGCTGCTCCCCCCCCATGTCTGCCTGTGTCCTCCTTCATCTGCAAGAAGCCGGGAGGTGGAGCTACTTGCGGGGGGGGAGGAGCAGGAGAGACGGCAATAGTCGAAGCCAGAAGGGGGGAGAGAGATGGAGCAACTTTGCAGACAGGCCAGCTGGGCATGTGGAGGAAGCGCTGCCTCCGGGAGGCAAGAGTTGCAAAGTAGCTCCATCTCTCTCCCCCCTTCTGGCTTCGACTACTGCTGTCTCTCCTGCTGCTCCCCCCCCCCGCAAGTACTGTAGCTCCATGTCCCAGCTGCTTCCAGGTGAAGGAGGCGGGGGAAGGGAGAGTGGTTGCTTGTTAGCTGGCTGCTCCCTGCAGAGGGAGGGTGGAGAGCGAGCAAGCAAGCAAGCAAAGAAGCAAAGCCGTGCATCAGGGAGCTTCCCAGGTTGGCTGCCCCATAGTGGCTTCCCCACAGAGAAGGGGCACTGCTGTCCTTCAAGGGGCGCTGGGGAAAGGGTTAGCATGAAGGCCACATGCCCACCAGCAAGCGCGACACGGCCTCCCTATGTGGGGGGGCCGGAAATCTGTGTCCGTGGCCCAGTTCCAGCTAACCCATGGACTGGCACCGGGCTGTGGACCGGGGGTTGATGATCCCTGCACTAGAGGATGGTGAAAGAAGTTAGTTATAGACAGGAGGGAAGGCCTGTCTGAAGAGCCAGGTCTTAAGTTGGCTCTCAAAAACGCCCAGTGAGGGAGCCAGACAAATGTCTGGGGGAAGATTGTTCCAGATCTGAGGGGCCGCTGCCGAGCAGGCCCACTTTCTTGTTCTTTCTCTTTGGGCCTCGCTCAGCGTTAGGCCCCTCAGCTGTCCCTCCTGGCTATGGCGAGTGATTCAGGTAGATCTAGGTGGGAGAAGGCCTTCTGCCAGATATTGGGGTCCTAAACCATTTAGGGCTTTATATGTCATCATTAATACTTTGAAATCAATGCAGAAATGAACAGGTAGCCAATGCAAGGCCGCCAGTGTGGGGGAGATATGTTGATGTTTTCTCACCTCAGTAAGAAGTCTGGCTGCCGCATTCTGTACCATTTGAAGCTTCCGCATCAATCTCAAAGGTAGCCCCACGGAGAGCACATTATAGTAGTCTAATCATGAGACTACAAGCACATGGACCAGAGTGGTGAGGGCCCTGACATCAAGATAGGGATGCAGCTGGGCTGTCTGCTATCTGTAGGTGGTGCAGACCACTGACACTATCTGGGTTTCCATGGTAAGCGCCGGGTCAAGATTTACCCCCAAGCTGCGAACCTCAGTCTTTGTGGTGAGAGTCCCCTCCCCCAAAGTGAGGGAGTTTCCCAAACCACCAATGTCTGGGCCACCCCACCCTCAGGACCTCCTCCTGTTCAGCCTCAGACCATTCGCCTGCATCCATCTCAGTACGGCATCCAGACAACGATGAAGGGACGGAACAACACCCACTGTTGTAGGAAAAAAGGAGATGTAGAGCTGGGCGTCATCAGCGTACTGATGACACGAAGCCCCACACCCCCTGATGACCTGACCCCGCGGCCTCATGTAGATATTAAACAGCATTGGGGAGATAATCGAGCCCTGTGGAACCCCACAATTGAGATTCCATGGAGCCAATACACTGTCCCCAAGTTGTACTCTCTGGGGACGGTCCTCCAAGAAGGATTGGAGCCAGGCTAATGCCAGACCACCAATTCCCAGCTCAGAGAGCCTCCCCAGGAGGATACAGTGGTCGACGGTATCAAAGGCCACCGAGATATCAAGGAGGACCAACAAGGACATATTGCCCCCATCGGCCTCCCTCAGCAGGTCATTCATCAGTGCGACCAGTGCCGTCTCTGTACCATAGCGCGGCCTGAAGCCCGACTGGAATGGGTCCAGGGCATTGGTTTTGTCCAAGAGCACCTAAAGCTGATCTGCCACCACCCTCTCAACCACTTTGCTAAGGAAAGAAACATTGGCGACGGGCCTATAATTGCCAATGTCGTCCACTGCCAAATTTCATTTATTCCTAATGGGCCTAATAAGTGTCTCCTTGAGGAGAGACCCATTAATACTTAAATTAATGCAATGCACCAGAGACGGCATGCTTGTGGTCCCTGTCCTAAATGTTGAAACTCATTTTTTTCAGGTATGAGTACCTCTGCTTCCTTCAAAGTGTTAGTAACACCTATTCGAGTGTTCCAAGAAAAGTAACTCATCCTGTGGCTTAAGGAAACAGAAAGACCATAACTGCTGACAATAAGCTGTAGGCAAAGCCCAAGGAAGCACTGTTTTGATCTCTTATAAGATTTCTAGAACTGCAAAATAATGAGAGCCCACTATGTTAGATCAGGTCTCAAGATGGTTTCCCCCCCAATCCTAAAAGGCTGCAGACATCGACTCTTTAATAACCCCCGCTATTATGAAATTTATTTTAATAATATTTTCTAATGTGAATCCTTAAGCTATTGCAACTGTAATAATACTTTTAAAGAACACATTTTAAATGGAAAAGGAAAAATAAGCAGAAGATGTCTTTCATACTTGTCTAGTATAATTAAAATCTTCCTGGGTAAAGAATATACTGGCTGTTTCTAATTAGTATTTTTAATTGGTGTTATGAATAATGACAGGTCAGACTACATATGTTGAATGATCTTGCCACAAAAGGCACTAAAACTTTGCATTCGCTTTAACAAAGGCAATCTCCACACGATATCTGAGGTTAATCGAGGCTGAAATTACCTAAAAATTTACTGCCTATCCATAAAGAAGTACTTTTAGCTGTATTGCTGCCAATTTCTCTAAAACCTCGCTCCAAGGCAGCAAGAAATAAAGTATTTCTATTACTTGTTATATTGAACAGACAGACTCATATAAAGCTGGCATGGCAGCTGCACTCAAATATATTATTTTTAATATTATTTGTTGTAAGATTTCTTGTCTACTGAATGCAATTCGTTGAAGACTGTGCAGAAAGACACAAAAGACGTTAAATTCATGCAGCACAAAATGTTGGTAGTACAAAAGTCTGCTTTAAAAAAGGAAGGGCTTAAAAAAGTGCAGCTTATATTTGCATATAAAGTTTTAAATTGTTAGTTCCATTCAAATACATGTTACAAAGCATTTTATTGATTGATTGGTTGGTTGGTTGATTGATTGATTGATTGCATTTATATGCCACCCATCTAGACACAGTCTACACTGGGCGGCTCACAACATATACAATAAAACAATTTAAAATATACACAGTTATTACATAGGTAAAAACAAAGCAATATAAAATATAAATCATAAGTTTAC